GTATGATAAATTTGAGAAAGAATTGGAAGGCTATTTGTTTTCTGGTTCATAATTCTATTTAATTTAGTTCTATCAAGACTATAACTGTGAGAGAGTTTAAGCCCTTAATGAGAATTTCTACCAATTGGTTTAGAGAAATCAAGACACGAGTGTGAGAAATGGAATTTGAGAAACCTATAATATTCATATTATTATTATTAATATTAAAGAATATAATTTAATCTCATGTATTAGTGGAAAATTTTGATGATAGAAATAAAATATTGATTCCTTATGGAATTCCCTTCAAACTTTAAGCATACCATTTTCCTAAGAGAATGACGAATTAAAGTATACTATTATTTATATATTAATTAAATCTAAATTAAACCCAAGATGAAAACAAAAAATTTCTTATTTTTTTTTAAACTGTCCTTAATATTAAGAAATTAATACTCATTAGTATTATTATTTTTTTAGAAAATGATGTGTATTTATCATTCTTAAAGTCCAATATCTTTGATTTGTGTAGCTCCTCATAAATGTTTAAGAAAACTTTGTGTGGAATGCTTATATGAGCATGGAGTAGATGTTAAACTTACAATTCCTATTTGTAAATTTAAAGAATTAATCACCAAGAATTTATAAGTGCATGAGCTTAATGGGATATATGAATTAAAGAAATTAAGGGAAGGTTTTAAAATCCTAATTTCTCAAACTGAAACTATTATTAAGAAATTTTGGGAAGATATAAAAGAATTAATTAAATCAATATTCGATAACATTGAGAAAGAAAATTAATCATTCATCAATCTTATCAACTAAAATGAAAATCTTGCAGAATCTTCATATACTGATTTGAACAATATAGTGTAAATTTTTGAAGGAAACATTCTAGATGATTGGAATAAATAAAAAAATTCTTATTTGATTAATATGATGTAAATTAAGAATTGGATAGAATAGGGTGCAAACACAATCAGTTAAAATTTTAAAGAAAAGATTAAGGAGGTAATGAAAATATTTAAGTAAAATAATTGATTTATAATTATAAAAAGGATTTAGAAAGATGAATCACTAGAATGGTAGGAAAGTATTACAGAATATGAAGGAATTGTTTGGGATTAAAATTCGATAGTTTCTAGAAAAAGAGTAAAATTTCAAGTAATCTAAACTAAAGAAAAAGAAATATAGTATGTAATGAATGGACTGTTATTGAGAAAGTAAAACTTAAGATTTATTAAATTAATAGAGATTAAATTTAAGACACTATAAATAAGCCTGAAATATTAATTAATTTAGAATAAATATAACATTTGAATTGGATTGGTGATTATGGAAAATAAAATTAAAAAATTGGAAAATGGACTGCAACTTGGAAAGGATTAAATTTAAGTGATGTAGGAGGATATTATTCTAATGAAGGAAAGAAATAAGGAAAATGGATTGAAATATTTTAGAATTATTGTGAGTTTGTTTAAGTTTATGAAGTAGGAGATTATGTAGATGGCTTTAAGAAAGGAACATGGAAGTATATCTATAAAGATGAAAAGATGTATAATGTTTATATTTATCCTAATTAAGTGGTGGTGGAGAATATAATAAGTAAGGTAAAAAGAATGGTAAATGGTTTGAATTAGGCAATGAGTATTAAAAATATTTTAGACTTACTTATATTGGTCGATATCAAAATGGTATAAAAGTAGGCATTTGGGAAACCTGCTTGGCTGAATAAGGCATATTATATGGTCATAATTATATATCGATGTAATATTAATAAATAATTAATTCTCCTTTTTAGAGGTGGTGGTTCATATGATGTAAATGGTAATGGAATTAAGATTGGAAAATGGATTGAACTATGTGATTAATTTGAATAGAATTTAAAAATAACTTATATTGGTGAATATAAAAATAGTAAAAAGTTTGGTAGATGGGATATTAAAGCAAACGATAAACTTATGTATTATTAAAAATAAGTTATAAAATTTTAGTGGAGGTGGATAGTATGATGTAGAAGGAAAGGGAATTAAGATTGGATAATGGATTGAGCTAAACGATCAATATAAATAGAATTTATAAATAACAGAAATTGGTGTATATAATAATGGTAAAAAGTTTGGTAGATGGGATATCAAAGTTGAGAATAAATTTATGTATTATTAAAAACAAGTTAAAATATTTTAGTGGAGGTGGATAATATGATAGTGAAGGAATGAAAATTGGATAATGGATTGAGCTAAGAGATGTTTTTGAATGGGATTCCTAAATTACTTATAATGGTGAATATAAAAATGATAAAAAAATTGGTAGATGGAATATTTTGTATAGGTATAATAGCAGAAAATAGTTTGAATAAATGTAAATATTAAAATTATTTATTTAATTTTTTAGTGGTGGAGGTTCATATCATGAATAAGGGAATGGGATTAAAGTTGGTATGTGGATAGAGTTAAGTGATTAATTTGATTTGAGATCGTAAGTCATTTACAATGGTGAATATCAAAATGGTAAAAAAATTGGTAGATGGGATATACTATAAAGAGATAGCAGTAGTTATCCGTTTGAATAGATGTACTTATTTATTAATTATATACTTTAAGTGGCGGTGGATCATATGATGAAGGTGGTGATGAAATTAAGATTGGATAATGGATTGAATTAACTGATAATTTTGGGAATCGTTTTTGGAATAAGAGAAAAGTCACTTTTAATGGTGAATATAAATAAGGTAAAAAAATTGGGATTTGGGTGACTATGGACATAGAAAATGATTAGAAATTGAATGAAATGAAATATGATTTTTGAAATTAATTGTAAAAGTATTAAATAAATTGTAGATTATAATTTATAAGATTAATTAAAAAATTTCAATTCAAGTAAACATAGAATAACAATTTATTATCATTATAGCATAAAGCTTATTTTATATTAGAGTAATCCATTAATTGTTAAAATTTAAAAGCATTAATTTTTATTAATTAATTAAAATAATAAATAGATTTTAGTACTTAATGAAATTTAATTATTGTATAAAAAATAAAAATTATTATGTCTCATTCATTATAATTATCTTTCAATCAATTGTTTATAAACACCATTTTTTTCTATTAATTCTTGATGCTTTCCTTATTCAACTATTTATCCATTTTAAACTACAATAATTTTGTTTGAATTAATAACAGTAGATAATCTATGAGCAATTATAATAATAGTCTTTTAACCTGATTAAACAAGACCATCTATAGCCTTTTAAACTTGAAATTCGGATTCAGAATCTAAAGCACTTGTTGCTTCATCAAAAATCAATATTTTAGGATTTTTAATCAAAGCTCTTGCAATAGCAATACGCTATTTTTAACCTCCTGATAATTTCACTCCTCTTTCACCAACTATAGTTTACAATCCATCTGGAAATATTGAAAAATCTGTAACAAAATCATAAGCATTAGCTAATTTCATAGCATTATCAATGTCTTCTTAAGTGAAAGTATCTACACCATATGTAATATTATCTTTCAATGTACCAGAAAACAAAGTTGGTTCCTATGCAACAAATCCTATTTGTTTATGTAACTATTGTAGATTATACTCCTTAATATCTATGTTATCAAATAAAATGGATCCTAATTTTGAATCATAAAATCTCTATAGTAATTAAACAATAGTAGATTTTCCACTACCACTTTGTCCAACAAATGCTACAACTTCCCCTTAATTAATCTCTAAGCTTATTGCTTTCAAACTCATGACATTTTATTTAGTTGGATAACAAAATGTTACATTTGATATATTAATTTATCCAGATATATTAGAAGCATCAACAGAACCATTACGTATCTTAACTGGATGATCTATTATATCAAAAATCTTTTCAGAAACAGCAGCAGCAGAAATCATTTCATTCATAGTTCCACTTAAAGCCAAAAGAGAAACTAATATTAAATAATATAATACTTGTCATAGTTAAAGTATATAATACAAATGAACTTAAGTTTCCTATTGTTGATTATCCATCAATTACTAGACTTCCACCATAATACAAAATAGCTAATATAACAGCATAAGCTAAAACTATTCCAATAGACATAAATTAACTTCCTAAAACTGCCATTTTATTACCAAAATTATAAATATTTTAATTAGCAATTTGATATGAATTACTTTCTCTTTCTTCTGTTGAAAAAGATCTTACAATTCTCATATTACTTAAGACTTCTGAAGCTATTTAAGTAGATTAAGCTATAGATTATTAATATTCCTTTCTTAATTATTTGTATTTTTTAACAAATATAATTGCCAAAATTGTAGAAGGAGGAATTACACAAAACAAAACAAGTGTTAATTTCCAACTTATAAAACATAATAAAANTAAACATAGAATAACAATTTATTATCATTATAGCATAAAGCTTATTTTATATTAGAGTAATCCATTAATTGTTAAAATTTAAAAGCATTAATTTTTATTAATTAATTAAAATAATAAATAGATTTTAGTACTTAATGAAATTTAATTATTGTATAAAAAATAAAAATTATTATGTCTCATTCATTATAATTATCTTTCAATCAATTGTTTATAAACACCATTTTTTTCTATTAATTCTTGATGCTTTCCTTATTCAACTATTTATCCATTTTAAACTACAATAATTTTGTTTGAATTAATAACAGTAGATAATCTATGAGCAATTATAATAATAGTCTTTTAACCTGATTAAACAAGACCATCTATAGCCTTTTAAACTTGAAATTCGGATTCAGAATCTAAAGCACTTGTTGCTTCATCAAAAATCAATATTTTAGGATTTTTAATCAAAGCTCTTGCAATAGCAATACGCTATTTTTAACCTCCTGATAATTTCACTCCTCTTTCACCAACTATAGTTTACAATCCATCTGGAAATATTGAAAAATCTGTAACAAAATCATAAGCATTAGCTAATTTCATAGCATTATCAATGTCTTCTTAAGTGAAAGTATCTACACCATATGTAATATTATCTTTCAATGTACCAGAAAACAAAGTTGGTTCCTATGCAACAAATCCTATTTGTTTATGTAACTATTGTAGATTATACTCCTTAATATCTATGTTATCAAATAAAATGGATCCTAATTTTGAATCATAAAATCTCTATAGTAATTAAACAATAGTAGATTTTCCACTACCACTTTGTCCAACAAATGCTACAACTTCCCCTTAATTAATCTCTAAGCTTATTGCTTTCAAACTCATGACATTTTATTTAGTTGGATAACAAAATGTTACATTTGATATATTAATTTATCCAGATATATTAGAAGCATCAACAGAACCATTACGTATCTTAACTGGATGATCTATTATATCAAAAATCTTTTCAGAAACAGCAGCAGCAGAAATCATTTCATTCATAGTTCCACTTAAAGCCAAAAGAGAAACTAATATTAAATAATATAATACTTGTCATAGTTAAAGTATATAATACAAATGAACTTAAGTTTCCTATTGTTGATTATCCATCAATTACTAGACTTCCACCATAATACAAAATAGCTAATATAACAGCATAAGCTAAAACTATTCCAATAGACATAAATTAACTTCCTAAAACTGCCATTTTATTACCAAAATTATAAATATTTTAATTAGCAATTTGATATGAATTACTTTCTCTTTCTTCTGTTGAAAAAGATCTTACAATTCTCATATTACTTAAGACTTCTGAAGCTATTTAAGTAGATTAAGCTATAGATTATTAATATTCCTTTCTTAATTATTTGTATTTTTTAACAAATATAATTGCCAAAATTGTAGAAGGAGGAATTACACAAAACAAAACAAGTGTTAATTTCCAACTTATAAAACATAATAAAATCAAACTACCTATAACTTGAATAGCATTTTTTAATAGTGTAGATATAGAGTCATTGGTTCCTTTATTAATTACAGATATATCAGATGAGAGTCTAGATATTAATTCTCCAGATCTATTAGAATCAAAAAATTCTATATCCTTTTAAATTAAACTTTAAAATAATTCATTTCTTAAATGAAATGTTATTTTTTCTCCTAAAATATTAAAAGCATAAGTTCTTAAAAAAGTAAAAAAAGCAGTTACAATTGTCAACACTATGAATTATAAAGTTAAATAATTTAGATTTTCTTTAGAATTAGATTTTGTTATTGAATCAATCATTTTCCTAAAATTATAAATAAATAATACCCAGTTAAGTATGGTAATGCTACCATTGAAACTGAAGTAATGAGCAATCCTAAATTTCCAAAAAACAGTAATAATTTATTTTACAATGAATATTAGATTAATCGAAAAATGCTTGATCTTTTATTATTACTGTTGATAGTGTTTTCAATTGGAATATTTATTTTCTCTTCCTAGAATTCTTAATATTAAGGTTCCAAATTCATTAATTTTAAAATTTATTAGTGCTTTGAAATTAATCTAAATACTATGTATTATTGGAATTCAGAAAATCCAATAAATTATTCTGATTATATCAAAATTAGAAATTTGATTAATGTTATATTAAGAATTATCTATGAATTTCTATACTATTTTAAAATATTCATTTCATAACAATTTTTGATCCTTCTTTTTTGTTTGAAATGTGTTCAACAAGGATATCTTCGGATAAGCTTATGGTATAAAATATAATTCAAAATTATGAAATATGTCTTCTTTATTTCATAAATCATTTCATTAAATGTAATTTGGCATTTCTGTTAGTTGCTTCTCACTTCAATATATAATATATCATGCTAATAAACAAAATAATTTTGATAATTAAATATTTATACCCTCCTAATATTTATCTAATTTTGTATGTTTGAAACTTTATTATTATAGTATCAAATTAACTAATAACAAAAAATAAGATTAGATTTTATATTTGTTGAAAAATTTAAGTCCTTACATTTCTCTAATAATTATAAAAATTTAGCATATATGATTAAGAAATATGGATAATTTATTCAGTAATTATTCTTCAAAAAAATCAAATAAAAGGGTGATCCTATAAGATTGTGTTTTATTAATATTATTTAATTTATTTTGTTAATTTGAATAAATAAATTATTTTAAAGCATGGTAGGATCAAACATGCTTAATATTAAAAATCTTTAATTATTTCCATAAAAATATAATAATAGGATTTGAACCCTTACTTTAAGTAGAATTTTATGGAATGAAATTTAATAATAAATTCCTATCAAAAAATATAATAGAAATTGTATTTTAGGTTTATAAGTATATTAAAAATACTAAAGAAAAAAATATTGTTTATTCAATATTCTCTAAGAATTAATTAGATTCACAAAACTAAAATAATTATTTAGATAATACTTAATTATAAATAGGACAAATAATTTAAAATGATAATAGTATAGATTTTAATTTATTTTAGGATTATTTTCTTTTTTATAAATTAAAAGCCACTATTTTAAGAAGAGAAGAATTTGGCATTGTTTAGAAAAATTAAATAAATTTTTAAAACTTATGTCTTTAAATTAAATTAGATTATTCATACCTTTTTTATAAGCTGCCTATCTCAAATTTAAATCACATTTCCAAAATGAATTTGTCTTAATATATAATATTGATGTATTATTATTACCATAAAGAATAGTAAATTTATTTAAAAATGAATAATTGTAGGTATATTTATTATGTATTATATATATTTAATAATAATTATTATATAAATTTTTATGGAATAAAAATAAATTTATACTAAAAATTGTCATTGTATAAAATTTTATAGATTAGCCATTCTATTTTGATATTCATTTCTAAAGGTTATATTTAAAATTGGAATTACATTTCCAATTAAAATATTTAAATATAGTTAAATGAATTCATGAATAAACTATTTGAATATAGCATCCAAAATTTCGATAGGAATGAAAATTTTTAATAAATCATAGAAAGACATATATTAAACATAAGATAGGAGATAAATGTTTATATGATAATTTCCCTTAAAAAGAGAGATCCTACCTTCAATAATAAAGACCTTTTTTCTTATAAATCAATATAAATATGTTAATAAAAATACGCATTAAATATAAAAATTCATGTAGATTATTGATATTATTTTGGAGTATAAATATCCATGTAGATGAACTTATAAGAATTATTTAATATTATTGTTGGATAATGGTTTATGTTTCATTTTCCTCCATATTTGAAAATCATTTAAACTGGTAATTGTTACTTTATCTATTTTTGTTTCATACAATAGAAAATGTGAATAGTTAAACTTTAATATATAATTCTTAATTTACAACTTAAGATCTAAATATAGATATAGATATGATAAATGATTAAGATTGGAAGCTATTTTAATAATAAGAATAATTGGTGGAGTAATAAATTGTTGAATGTTTCGGTAAAACAATATTTGGAGGAATGTCAAATATGGTAATATTTAAAACATTTTTTATTCCTCCTCATTTTGCTTATTAGATTGATTTTCTAATTTTTTCATCTTCTGGATTAGATTTCAGTATCACAGTAAACGTAGACGATTAATAA